GTAAATAAAGATCAAATTGTTAGTAATTTTTTATTTACTACTAACCCGTATTACGGGTTGCTTACTGTATAAATAAATTTATATTTTATTAGAGAAAGTAAATAAATATCAAATTTTTAGTAATGATTTATCTACTACTAACCCGTATTACGGGTTGCTTACTGCTAGTACATATATTAATATATACAAATAAACAAAAAAAAAAACACACAAAAAAAGAAAAAAAAAAAAAAGAAAAAGAAAATACGCAAGCTGAAAATATGATGAATTGACATTTTTTGATTGACATAACTCAAATGTAAATGAAACTTGAAGAAAAGAGAAACAACTTATAAGTGAATTGTATAAAACATTTGATTGTAGAAACATTTGAGAAAACATGTTGTGAAAACATTTTGAAATTATAGATATTATACGAAAAAAAAAAAAAAACAATAGCAAAAAAGAATGAGTTGAACTTATTTGCATATATATGTGCAAATAAATTCAACTCATTTGTACATATATGCAGTCTTCTTGGTTTGACAAGCGCTTTAGCGCTCTTACAGTTTGCGCTCACCTACACGCCTGCTAATACTACGGTTGGCGCTTTTTTAGGTGCTTGCCAAAAAATTTCAAGTGCATTTTTAAATTGCAACAAATCTTTTTTCTTAATCAAATTCTAATTAAAGAGGTACAAAAAACAAATATTTTTAAAAATCGCATTTGTCAGACAATTAATTACTGTCCGGCCAGCGCTTTTTTGTGCGCTGGCGGAAAATTTTAAACGGAGAAGACTGTTTATGAGTTTAAGTTATTTGCATTTTATATTCAACTCAAGTTTAAATACAAAACAATAATGACTAAAGAACCCTAGAAAAAAGTAGAGTTGTTAGTTTAAAAAAAAACTTTATAAAAGTACTTACTACTGTAAAGAGTTTTTCTAAAAAATATTGCAACAAACCAAAGAAATAGATTGAAAGATAAACATCTTTCAATCTATTTTTTTTTCGGTAGCTATTATTTACTTTGATTTTGCTGAAGCATTTGATAAGGTTTCCCATAAAAAAATATTCCCATAAGTAAGAAAAAATTATAAATAAGGCAAATATGGTATAGATAACCAATTAATAAAATGAATTCACGCTATATTCTGACAAATAGAAAATAAAGAAATATGGGATAGATAATCAATTAATAAAATGGATTCAAGCTATATTCTAACAAATAGAAAATAAAGAGTCACATTAGGAAATTTTACATCAAATTGGATACAGGTAACTAGCAGAGTACCTCAAAGCTCGATGCAGGGACCCATACTGTTTGTTCTATACATGAATGATATGTTGGACAATACTAAATGTCACTGCAAATTGTTTGCAGATGACACAAAGATATTAGAAGCTGTTTGTAATGAAACAGACCATTTAAATTTACAACATAGCAATGGGCTAAAGCATGTTTTAGCCCATTGCTATGTTGTAAATTTAACGTGACAATGAGTTAATAAATTTAACAAAAGTTGTAACAATATTGTTAATAATTAGGGATCACTTTTCTGTTTTTGCAATTTCTACAGAAACCTGTCTTAGGCCAACTAAGATTTGATAACACAGCTACATGCTTGATGATTGAAATTTGGAACACTTGTTAATAAATGTCTGTTTTATCTAGATTTCCACAGACTCTGATAATTTTTTTTACAAAAAGTTAAATTTTAATGCATATATATATATACATTTTTTTGTTTTTATTTGTTTGAAATAAATAACAATATTTTTGAAATGTTTGCAGAGTTAATAATACTTCAATCTTTAATAAATATGAAAACAAAAAAATTATTTTCAAAAATTTATTTCAGTACCTCTAGCTATGTTAAAAAATATGTTTTCAAACTTAGCTGATTTAAAAAAAATTTATTTATTTTTATGCGCAAATTTTTGTTTTTATTTTAAAACAGTCACATGACCTCAAATGCAATTTGCTTTACTGACTTAAATAATGAGTCAGTTTTCTTGTTTTTTCAAATTCTTTTTTTTTATTATTATTATTATAATTGTAGCCGTAAAATATACATACCATATATACATTCAGCAAGCAGGGAAAACACCCTACTATAAACAACCAGTTTTATAAATATTCGTTCCGAATATTTATCCTCAACCAGAGATCTAATCTAATTTTAAAAGAAAGTATAGTTGAGTATAAAGTTACTTGCTAGGGTAGTTCATTCCAGTATTTTGTTGATCTATTATATAATTGGTTGTGTCTTAGAAGACAGTTTGGAATATATTCATTTCTTATTTTAAGATGGCGACCATGTGACAATGAGTTAATAAATTTTGGTTGATATATATTATTAACTATATCAAATCGATGTATTAATTTAAAAATTTGTATTAGATAGCATCATAGGTGCCGAAACTCGAGTGATGGTAGATTTAGTCTTTTAAGTCTTTCATAGTATTGAAGATTTTTCAAGTTTAAAGCCCATTTTGTTGCTTTACGTTGAACAGATTCAACCAAAGCTACGTCAGTTTTTAAATACGGGGCCGAAACAGACACTGCATATTCAAGGTGTGGTCTTATAAACACTTTATATAATTTGAGAGCCATTTTTTCATCAACGATAGTGAATGTCCTTTTGAGCATACCAAGAATTTGTAAAGACTTGGAGACAACTGATTGAATATGTGTACTCCACTTGAGGTTAGATGTAAAAATGACTCCTAAATTGCGCTCTTTGATAGTGCTTCTTAGTCTTTCATTTATACCTTGGTTATTTTGCAAAAAGTAGCTATACATAGGATTGGTTTTACCATAATGAATAGCACAGCATTTTGAAATGTTTAATTTAAGTAACCAAGTGTTTCACCACTAGTATACTAAGCGTAGACGGTCCTGCAGATCAACGAAATTAGTCTGCGATAAAGTTTTAGAAAAAAGTCTGCAAATACTTCAGAAGTTTCTGTAAGTTGACCAAGATCGTTTGTAAAAAGAATAAAGAGGAGCAGGCCGAGAACAGAACCTTGAGGAACACCACTAAGAACATCAACCCAGTCAGAGCTAGTATTGTTGATTGTAACGCGTTGCTTAATTTTTTTTTTTTTTTTTAATTTTTGATTAATTTATATTAATAATAGTTACAAAATGTGTATTATTTAATAATAAATATCTGAAAACTATTTTTTCAATTTTTTTTAATAAAAAGTGACAAATAATTCTCAAAATTTAGCTAAGTTTTTCATTTTAATGCTGTGTTTAATCTGAAATTAAAGAAAGTTTTTATTAATTCATTTAATGTCATAAGGTAAAACATTGTATTGGTATTTATATTCTTTTTACAGAACAAAATTACCTCTAATATTTCAAAAGTTAAAAAAGTTTTAGTAAAACCATTTAAGTGATTATTTAAAAAAAAAGAAAAACCAGAAGCCATAAAGCTCTCTTTGAAACAGCCATGTTAGTGTGCTGTCATCAGTGTCTTTTCGGAAGGTTTAAGACCTCCCCTTAAGGTAATAAATTTTTCAACTTTTCCAACTTTGCTTATATATTTATTGCAAAAAAATAATAATATAGCAAAAAATGTTTATAATTGTTAAAAAATTTTTTTAAAGTTTCCTCATTTTATATTTATAAAACAATTTTGAAGAAATAATATAGTAACTGCTATTTTAGTCTTTATTAGAATATATCCTAAAAAATATATATTTTATATATTTTTAATAAAAGAAATTTTATTAAAATTATTTTAATTATTTTAATTATAAAAAATTTAAATAAAATCTTATTTCTAGTTTGTTTTTTCTAGTTTTTTTCCACAAAGTTACATCACATACGCAAAAAAATTTGGCTTCAACAATTTACAAAAAAACCTATTTATAAAACCCGCTTGAAATGTGTTGATTAATTGCAATCCGCATAAGAGTTTATAAAATGGTTTGTTTTTCAATTACATGCATAAATTGGATAAACTAGTGGTTTTATGGGCTGTCATCGGTACCGCTTTGCGAGGGTTGAATTAATAACTTCAATTAAAAAACAAAATAAACAATTATACCGGTTGCCAACGCAACGCGCATAATTGTTCTAACGTTTTATCAACCTATGTGTGCTAGCTGGGATATATGTTTAGTGTTTTTTAACATTACATAACTTGAATTTTACGTAAGTTAGATGTTTGCATACACCTTTGCTCACATTTTCTTATAAAAAAAAATGCTATGACTCTATCTCGCCACTATTTCAACTGCAATGGCTAGCAAGGGTTCTGTGTCAAACATGTTAAAAAGAGCATTAATAAGTTGTTAATTCTATCATAATATGATGATTATCTTAATTACTGGCACTTTTCAGATTTTGTCATCCAGCATAAAAAAAACATTAAAGACACTTTCAAATATTTTTATAGAGCAAATTTCAATAAAATTATAGATTTTATTAACCCAATTTTTTGGAATTTGTGTTTTTGGCTAGAATAAAAGAACAGCCTATACTGTAAAAAAGATTAGACTCCCATAATTAGGCAAGCAAAAATCAATTTTTATTTCGATAAAAAGTATGCTTAAATTGCTGACTTTTTTTTGTCTGTAGAATTACGCATTTCTTTATAAGCTTTAATTTGGAAAATAAATGTTCAACCTTGACAACAGTGACATGGTTACATGGTTGATATGGTTGCATAGTTGACAGATAGTTAATTAAATTAGGCAGACTGTAAGCATAAATGGGTGAATGGATGGTGCTCTATTGATTGATAGCCTATCTTAGACACTAATGATAATGTGTATCTAATTACTAAATTATAATATTAGCTGCTAATTAGGTTTGTTATAAAAATTGATCACAGCTTTTGTTCAATGCGCTCTGTCCCAAAGGTAGAAAGTAGGGACATAGAATTTAGAATAGAAAGCAATACAATTGACTTGATTTACAATTAAAAAAAATAAAAAAATAAAAGGTTGTAAGCATGTCTGACTATAAACAATCAATGAAACTCAAAATGAGAATAAAAAAGTTACCTTCATCAGTAGTAATAGAAGTGATAACCATTTGTGATCCTAATAAAAAATATTTAAGAAGTTATTTACTACAAAAAAAAAAAAAAAAAAAATACAAAATAGTTATTAAAGTTTATATATATAAAATCAAAGTGACTGAGCTCTTTTTACTCCATAATATACTATTATATATATGCACACACACAGATGTAATTAAACCAATTGTGTAATTAATGTAATTATTCCAATTGTGTAAATGATATTGGAAATTTTCAGCTATAATTAAGTCTTTGACTTAAGTATTTGAATTAAATAATTTATTTTATTGATGTTTGTACCTTGCAGAGTATGCATAGCTACAGAAACCAAACGAGACAAAAATAGCAACGGGACAGATGATGCAATAGACATTAAACCATATGTAGATACTGAAGAGAAAGCAGCAAGCAATAATGCATACTTGCCACCAAACAAATCTCCAAAGCGACCAAAAAATGGTCCCCCACACAGCTGCACAAAAGCAAACACTGATTGCAGATACCCAAACATTGTTGTGTTAGCACCAAGTTTTCTCGTAAGGTACTAAGCATGAAAATAAATTATATTGAAAAAAGTTGAAAAGAAAAACTAAAAAAGAATATTAAAGCTTTCATTGATCTATATTGTTCTTAAAAAGTTTTACAAATAAAAACACATGTAAACATTTTAAAAGAATACAACTCACGGGCATAACCCCTATTTGTATCCAATAACATGTTGCATACAAAAAAACAGTGAAATGAGTTGCATAAACTATCTTCTTTGTATTTGAGGCATTAACAAGACTTGGGTTCGGCAAAACTTCTGAACTTCTTCGTCTCATTCTTTTTGATTTTTTTTATTTTTGAATAAAAAAGCCCCTAAAATGTTACTAATAAATTTATGTTATAAAAAAAAAATGAAATTAGTAAAACTGGTTGGTTTTATGCAATAATGATGCAAACACTCATTAAGACAGGAGTAATTCACTCCATTAAGTTTTATTAGACTTCTATAGGATTGCCTTTGATTTTATTGAGGTATTTCTACTTGAGTCATCTAGTTATATGTATTAATCGAGTATAAACTATTTTTGAATATTTTAGGTCAAAAATGACTAAAATGTGCAAAATAATTCAAATAAGTATGCCTTCAATATTATTATACATAACAGGAAAAAAAATATTGTAACAATAATAAAAAAAATACAAAACAAATATTAAATATTATTTTAAAAATCATTTTAAAAACTAATGATAAGAATTATAAAAGAAAAATAAAAACTAATACTGAAAACTAAAAAAAAAAAACTCAGAAAAAATAGTCTAATCTTGAGACTTATGAAAAAATGGTTGAACTAATTTTCTCGCAAAAAATTATTTAAAAAAATAACAGGCCGTTTAATATCAACATAACATAACAGGTCGTTTAATATCAACATTATTTATTATATACATTCTTTAAGAAACTATATACAATTAAATTTTAAACTTTGAACATTATTAATTTTTTTTTAAAACTATAATATATTGACATATACATTTGTATAAACAGTATTTACATTTTTATTTACATATTTAATTTAAACTGAAACCCGTTTCCTATATTATTGTTAAGCTCGCCATGCCATATCTGTCCTTTAGTATCTGTAAATGTTCCCCTGCCTAACAGTCTAAATATAAAACAATAAAACACATTAGATATTTGAATTCCTAATAAAGAAAAATAATTTAGGATATTAAAAGTAAAACTAAAAAAAGAAATTATTTATTTTGCGATCAAAAATTGTTGCATAATTATTGTCACAATTGCATAAACTTTAATAATAAATTTTTTTTTGCATTGACTCAATTAAAAAGCATAAAACTAATATAAAAGAGAAATTTATTTGTTCTTAACTTATTGTGCAGCTTGTTTTGAAAAATAGAACATCCAGTACAGCTTTAATTAGTTTTGCAAATTTTCAGTTGTTTTTTTCTATTTATTATAAAATATATTATTTTCTAAATTTGGCAAATTGTTTTTATTTATAATATATTTATAGGTGGTTTATGAGAAATCAACATTTAAATGGCAAAAGATATGCGTTCATTTGGTACGGAAACAAAACCTAGTTTTTGTGTCCTTTATGCCAAAAGCAAGTGAAAAAAAATATATATATACATTATTGGTCTGCCTAACAGGACCACAATGGTGAAAATGATTTTCTGGAAGAAACATTTTTTGATGAAGATATAAAAGTTGCACAGGAGAAAAAAATTATAAAAACCAGTTTTGATAAATTAGATGTATAACTTATAAAATTTAATGGGGTTCCGCAACGTGGTAAATTTTCTCATTAATTTTCATTTTTTAGGGAAAAGAAAACTAATGCAAGCTATTGATTTTATGTTAAAAAAACTATGAGCAATAACTGATGTTATTGCAACAGAACTGAAAAAAAACTATGAGAGATAACTGATGTTATTGCAACAGAACTGAAAAAAAACTATGAGAGATAACTGATGTTATTGCAACAGAACTGAAAAAAAACTATGAGAGATAACTGATGTTATTGCAACAGAACTGAAAAAAAACTGTGAGATAACTGATGTTATTGCAGCAGAACTATGAGAGATAACTGATGTTATTGCAACAGAACTAAAAAATGATGTTACTGAAGAGCCCAATGTTTAACATCAGAAGAAATCTGAGGATCTAAATAAGTCCAATGCAAGAAAAGCTGAAAACAGCAAACAGAAGAGAATAGGATTCAGATTTTGACAATTGTTCCAGGTTATTGCCTTTATGAAAAGCAACTGAAGTATTTAATATATCTAAGTCAAGCGTAACTAAAACAAGAAAACTTAAATTTAAAAAAGGAATATTAACACATCCAGAAAAAAGTAACATTGCTAGAATTAAATCGGATATAATTGATAAGGTGGAAAACTTTTATTGATCAGTTTAATCAGCAGTTGCAAGGTATAAATAATTTTGTAAGTGTATACAAAAATAAACATTTATTAAAGCAAAATCTTTTTTTTTTTTTAAACATTTTTCAAACTTCTAACAAGGCTGCAAGCAACCACTATTAGAGTTAAAAGTTACAGGAAGAAAAAAAATAAAGTTTATACAACTTTAAAGATTGGATATTATATGAATCAGGAAAACAAAAAGAAGGGAGAGAATTCCAAAGAACTGATGTTCGAGGGAAAAAACTAGACAAATTAGAATTTTTGGAGCATTTAGGAACAATCACAGTAAAAGGATTAATTGAATGACAAGTAACACAAGGATAAATTTTAGTAAATGGCACAAGAGATGCTAGTTCTAAAGAGCAGTGTCCATTATATATTTATAGAAAAGAGAAAAAGAAGCAACATTACAGTGATGTGATGTTGGTTCTTTTTCTCTTTTCTAAATGGTTAAAGGTTGGCTGCAAGAGCAGGTCCAACTATGTTTACAATGTGTTTTGGCACCTGGTCTAAAAGAGAAAGGGCATCATTTGAAGATCTGCTGCAGATATGACAATAGTATTCCATACAAAAATGGATTTGAGATTTATAGAGATAAAGAATAGAATCCTGAGTAAGAAAGGGGCAAGCATGATAAAGAGATGCATCCTTATTAGATACTAATTTTGCAACGGATTTTATGTATGGTTTGCAAGAAAGATCGGAAATAAGAGTTAATTCTAGAAGATAAAGGGCAGATGATTTGTCGAGTACATTACTATTCATAAATCTAGGAAGATTTTGTTTGCCATAAATAGTTTGTTGGCATAACAATTAGCTGAAAAAAATTAAGTTTTGTCTAAGTTGAAGTTTACCAGCCACTGAAAGCCCTGTGTTGTAGCAGAAATGATATCTTTTTCAAGCTAAAATGCCCCCTCAAAACAATCAGAGTGTTAGCTTCTTAACAAGACAGAAAAAATGGTAGTTCCTACCAAGACAGGAATAAATGTTAATCTCTCTTGGCCCTATACTTTTTTAAATGTAAATTTAAAAAAGTATAGGGCTAAGGATAGAACCTTGAGGAGCCCCTAAAATTTTAGGAAATGAAGAAGAGTGCTGTCCAACAATGAAAACGTTTATACTTTAATTAGTAGGGAAGGGTTCAACAATCTTAAAGATGTTATCTGATACACCATAAGAAGAGAACTTATGGAGAAAACCAACTGGCCAAACTTTCTTAAAAGCTTTAGAAATGTCAAGAGCGACGGCCTTAACCTTTTCACATCTACCTAATGCATGATAAAACTTTTCAGTTATTACTGTTAACAAATCAGCATTAGAACAAGAATATTTACATGCATATTGATGATCAGAAAGTAAATTATTAGATTCAAGATGAGAGATTAAGTGTTTATTAGTTAAAAATTCAAAAGCCTTGCTTAAGATAGTATTAATCTAACTACTGTCCCATTAGTATTAACTAATGGGACAGTAGTTAGATAAATCAGATCGCTCTCCAAAATTTTTGAAAATAGGGATAACAGATGTTGCTTTCATGCAGGCTCGAAAACAAGATAAGCACTTGTTAAATAGTTTTGAAATTATAAATGACAGCTCCAAAGAAAACCTCTTCAAGACTATACTAGGTATGTTGTCCAGACCACAAACTGTAGAAGAGTATAAGCAGGAAATCACTTTAGATACAGAAGCTGGAGTGATATGAATGTCAAGCAATGGATCAGCCAGTTTGATGCTATATCAGGTAGGACGTTATTAGTGGAATCTAGAAATGAGATTGATGAAAAGTTTTTATCAAACAATTCAGCTTTGTCTTTAGGTGAGGAAATAAAATCTGAATCATGCAAGAGAGGAGGAATAGAGAGAAGGAAAAGAAAGGAGGATTTGCCCTTACTATAAACACTGTTAAAAATTCTCCTCCTTTGCAAATTAAAGAAATGATCTATTGAAACTTGAATTAACTATTCAAACTTGAACACCCTTAGTCCAAAATAGGACTTTCCAAACTTTCTCAGTTAAAGCTAAAATGCTGTATCTATGCTGTTAGGGAAAGGAACCCATGATATTTGTATTTGTACAATGCACCAAAACTTAAATAAAGCTTTACTTAGTGCAGTTAAACTGAAGAATTGTAGCAGAGTCAACGAAATGCATGATCCATATTTGTAATTGTTGCCCTGGAATTTAAAATATTATCAATTAAATATGTAAATCTTTTTTTTTAAATAAAGGATCATTTGAAGAGAATGATAAAGTTGATGAAATATGTGAATACAAATAACTGAATACAAAAAGCAGAGTATAAAGCGGAGCAGTTATATATCAGACAATATTTATATCAAAGGCAAATTCATTAAAAGTCTTTGTGAAAAGACTTGATAGCATAACACCCCACTCTTATATTGCTAAGGCACAAGGTAAATATTTGAATAAATTGAAGTCATCCATACCCACAAATGAAATTATTCTTTTGGTTGATTTTGCAGAAAACTTCAAATTTATCATACAAGACAAAATCCAGAGTTAACACTGGAACCACCAACAATGCACAATACATTTATAATGCCTTTATTTATAACAAACATGATCAGGCTGCTACTAAAAGTCAACAAACATCTTTATACTTTATATCTGATGACTTAGTACATGATGTTGGATATTCTTATTGTAAAAAACTGTCAAATTTGACCAAAAAATGTTTTTTAATACCATAAAAATTTTTCTGATGGTTATTCTGACATTTGTGGCAACATTTTTCTAAATTTATGCCATCATGCTGAAGATTTTTGGATGCAATAGGAATGGAATTTCTTTGTAACGTCACATGGAAAGTCACCTTCTGATGACATTAGTTAAAAGACTTTCAAGCGCTAGTCTTTAACGTCCAATTGACTTACAAATTCAGAATGCTGAAGAAATGTTCAATTTTTCTAAAAAGTAACATATTTGGCATTCACTTTTTTTTTTAAAAAAAAAAGCATTAAATAAATAAAGTCTTTGCACTATTTAACCGTAAATCTTTGATTCCACAATTAAATAATGCTAAGACTTTACCTGGTACAAGAAATTCCCATTAATTTACTTTGCAGGATTCAACAAACACAAATGCCAAAAGAGTCTCTGAGCAGGAGAAATTTAATCTAACATTTAACCTTACTGGCTCAATACAATATCTTCATGAATTCATTGGACGAAAATATCTGCAAATATGATATGTTTAACTGGCTTTGTTATCAAAAGTTGATGAAGAAAATGAAGACACCCATCATAAAATTCACGCATCTTCATTTATCTAATAGTTAATTACACTGACCAAGTAGAGATGATTGTTGTTGGGTTATTAAGCCTCCTATTCTAATTATAATAAAAAAAACCATTATCTTTAAGAACAGGATGCATATATCAGATAAACACAGATGATTTGTTAAAATACAATCTTTAAGGTGGTATCCAGCCATTAGTTCTACTTTTTTATATTTTACACATAATAAATACCTATGATGAATTACTAGCATAATAGATAAAAATCTAAAACGTAATGCAATTTTTTTTTTAAATTAATAAAAAATAATTGCTGACTCAGCAAAAAAAGGTGAAAATGTTAAGGTCACAAGAACATAAATATCTTAAGAATAAATCAATATTAAAGGTTTAAATTTTGCAAAAAGCTAGTACACTAGTGTAGCTAGTGCCTGAACCAAAAATTTTTGAAAAAAATTTAAACAATCAAAAATGGCAGACTTAATGATATAAAAAACTATTTTTTAGCGATAAAACACTAATTAGATATGGTAATTGTAGGTTAAACTTAATTTTTTTAATCGTTTTTTCAGGTTCAGGCACTAAAAACATCAATAATGAACATATCCTGAAAATTTGAAGCTAAAACAATGTTTTTTTATTGAGATATCATTGTTTTGCTACAGCTACCCGTACAAAAAACAAAAATTGAGAAAAATCAATTTTAAAATTATAAATCATGTATACTACTCAGATAAATCAATTATACTACTCAGATACTACTCAGATAAATAAATTATTTTTGAAAAAATAATTTTTCTATTGAATTCTACAATGTTCAATTGTATGAATAACATTTTTTCAAAATTTTTATTATTTTTTTTATTTTTCACCAAAATAATGGCTGGATACCACCTTAAATTAACTCAGTAATAGTGCACCAGCTTTCTTTTTGAAACAATTTATGAAGTAATCAGATGCAAGTGGCCTCTACTTTCTTATAGTCTAGTTTCTTATTTAAAATTTGTACTTATTTAATTTTCTAGATTTATTTTACATGTATAATGAGTTTTTCATTTTAACTATTGATGATGGTATTTTTTGTAATGGAAATTTTCAAATAATTTAAGTAATTTCTAACATCCAAATTAATTTTGCATATATAATTTCTAACATCCAATATTTTCTAACATCCAAATAATTTAACATCCTAATCTAAAATCTAAAACCAAAATATAACATCCTAGTAATTTCTAACATCCAAATAAATAAGTAATTTCTAACATCTAAATGTATTTTTTCATTATAATTTGTTTGATTATTTATGAAAATCTCAAGTTTGCATCAAAGCACCTTTTAAATTATATATTTAATTTATAAATAATTATATATTTGGGTTTTGCTAAACTAATTGCTTTACAAAATCAAAAAAAAAAAAAAAAAAAAATTATACTATGAGACTTAGCAGAACTATTTGATTATAGAAAAAGATAAAGTAAAAAACAAAATAAAAACAAGACAGTACTCTTCTTCTTATTCTGTAACCTCAGAAGTTCCTCAAGGTTCAATCCTTGGCCCTGTACTCTTTTTATTTTACATTAACGATCTTCCAGATATTCTCACATCTAAGGTGTCATTGTTCGCTGATGATACTAATATTTATTCTTGTCACGATAAGAATCGAACTCCCTCTGATTGCTTGCAGGGGGCATCTGAGCTCGAAAATGATCTCACTTCTGCTACAGCATGGGGCTCACAGTGGCTGGTGAACTTCAAGTCAGATAAAACTCAATTTTTTTCAGCCAATCGTTATCGCAATAATTTAGACCTTCCTATATTTATGAATGGCAATGTACTCAATGAGTCATCTACCCTTCATCTTCTAGGATTAACTCTTACTTCTAATCTTTCTTGAAAACCTTATATCAAATCCGTTGCAAAACTAGCATCTGCTAAAGTTGCATCTCTTTATCCAGCTCGACACTTTCTAACTCTGGATTCTATTCTCTATCTCTATAAATCTCAAATCTGGCCTTGTATGGAATACTGTTGCCATATCTGGGGTGGATCTTCTAATGATGCCCTTTCTCTTTTAGACAAGGTGCAAAAACGCATTGTAAACATAGTTGGACCTACTCTTGCAGTCAACCTTCAACCTCTGTCACATCGTCGTAATGTTGTTTATACTATACTAATGTTGTAATCACTATACAGAAAAAAACAAACATTAAAAATGAAATTTTAAAATTGCTTTACTTTGTTGTAAGATGATAATTTTATGCAAAGTTAAAATGTTTAATAATAATTAAAGTTTTAATTTGTTTAAATGTTTAATAATAATTAAAGTTTTAAATAAACTATATGTTTACATTTTTTTATTAAAGTTTTGAATATTCAAAACTTGCTTTGTTTTGACTTTCACAGTAAGTGTAAGTATAATATTTTTATATAATGTTATGTAAGAATGAAATGGCAATGAAAAATTTCAGAAGGCATATGAGGTAGTAGAAAGTGATGTCAGTCAGAGAGTCATGTGTGCTGAGAAATTTAAAAAGGTAAAAGAAAATCTTAGGGATATTTCCCCAGAAAATATAATCAATTATAAAAATATTTATTATAAAAAACAAACTTTTCAAATTATCCAGGATGCAAAAAAATGATAATAAAAAGAGGTAATAAATACCCAGAACAAAATATAAACACATAAAACAGCAACTAGTATAATGTTTTCTGGCACTACTGCAGGTGAATTTCTACAAGATTATGTTGTTTACAAAGAAGAAAAACTGTGGAACATAGTGGCTGAAAATTTTAGAGCCACCTAGGTCCTAGAGCCACCTGCAACAACTGTTCACACTCAGAATAGTTTGACAATGAATGCTTTTATGACTGGTTTCAAAAAGTAGCTCTATTTTTTTGCAAAAGGAAAATTAGACACTGTGTCCTCATTGGAGACAAGTTTGTCTGCCTCTAAATCCTACACATCTGTACCTGCCTCTTGATGCAATACTATTTAGACCTCCTAAATAAAAATGACAATTCATTTTAACTACTTAAAAAAGTTCTAGAGGATAAAAGACATAGACAAATCTGAAAAACAAATTTTCAGGCCTACTAAAACAACTAATGGATACTGTAAGTATCAATGCTTCTGACAATATTAGGGCTGGCTTCAAAAAATATGGAAATTACCCTACATACCTTTAACCAGTCCTGCATCATATTCTACACAGTGATGATAAATCAGTCAACACATCAGATGCTGATTGATTTCTATATCATTAACAAGACATGCTTTTTGGATGATGATATAACGCAGACACAAAAAAAGCAACATCTAGATGTTCAGCCCTGGAAAAAGTGTTGTTGGATCTTCTAATGATGAAGATATAAATACCGGTACATATGATTCTACCAGCAACACAAAAAATATACTATTAATTTTCTATCTGCCACTACACGATTTTGCTACAAATCTTTTAAAACCTCAGACCATTAAGGTCAATAAATTTTTAAAACCTCAGACCAGTAAGGTCTATAAATCTGTTAAAACCTCAGACCAGTAAGTTCTATAAATCTGTTAAAACCTCAGATCAGTAAGGTCTATAAATTCTTGATATGTTGTTAACAATCGAACTTATTGGTTTTAAAAAAATTAGTTTGCCATTGAAATGGCCTTCAATACTCTAACAAGATTAATATGTTTACATTTTTTGCTCTGATTGAATTTAATTACTTTTTTAAAAAAATGCAGAACCATGATAATATGAAATCTGATCATATGATCCTATCAGATGACATGTTTTTAGAATTTTGAAAACCAACAAATAAGCTGTAATCATATAGCTCCAGTTTCATTGAAATCATCAAAACTTTTTGTAGACAATAAATAATTTTATGTTTATTATTATTTGAAAAATTTCAATGAAAGTATTTTTTTTACTTTCAAAGCAATTAAAAACTTAAACAAAAAAAAAAAAAAAAAAAAAAAAAAAAACTCGAGATTATTTTTATATTTAACCAGATTTATATTTATATTTTTATTATTATATTTATTGATATATATATTTTTAGATTTACCTGAGTTTAAAAAAAAAAGCTAAATTTATTAAAAGATAAATATAGCTTTTTGTTTTGAAAGATTTCAGTCTGGGTCTAAAGAATTTTAGATTATTTAGTTTAACTCTCACTGTATTTAACTTTTAGCTGTCTAAACATAACATATGTGCAAATAGCTATTTTTAGTTTGTTTTAAAATATATAGATATAAAACTATCAATTCTAAATAGAATTCAATTTATCAATAAAATAATTATCAACTAAAAAATTACTATATTGAGTATAAAAAGGCTGATGCAAATTAATCAAACATTAAACATTAATCTTTTATCTTTTAATCATTTACTTAATTGGATAAAAAATTGGTAAATCAAAAAAATGATGTTGTAGATTCTAATTAAGCAAAATTTGTAAGATTAGGTAATAATAATTCATTGACATCAATGACATCCCATAACTTTAACATAAACTTACAAATTGTTTATTTCATTACTAACACACTACTAAATATTTTTATACCATAATCTGAAAATATTAATGGATAGTAAATCAAGGCCATAGTCATGGCCGATCAAGGTCATGGTCATAGCTAATCAAGGCCATAATTATGGCCTAACCAAGACCATGGTCATGTTTTAAAAAAATTACTATAAAAACTTTAAAAAAAATTGAATCACTTATTGTCCTGAAAAAAACCTTCATACACTGAACCATCTGGAAATTTATATCTTCCGTTTCCATGCATACAGTTGTTGACAAACATTCCTTCATATGCTGCACCAGAGGTAAACGTAACTTCACCTAAAATAAAAATAAGAATTTATAATAGCACTTTGAATTGCAAGATGGTGGTAGATTTCAATTTATACATGTATATACATATATATATGCATATATATATATATACATATATATATATATATATATATATATATATATATATATATATATATATATATATATATATATATATATATATATGTATATATATATATATATATATATATATATATATATATATATATATATATATATATATATATATGTATATATATATATATATATATATATATATATATATACATATATATATATATATATATATACTCCTTACCTGTGACTTTAGCCAGCTTAATGATTTTTTTTTTCATTTTGATGGTGTTAGTCTTCATTTTATGGCTTTGGATTGAATAATCATATTAACTATAATTATACGGGCATTATAAATAAAGAAGAAATGAAGAAAAATTAGTTGAAAAAGAAAGAAGGTAAAAGAAAGGCATTTGAAGTAATGGAAAAGGTTTATCGAGTGGAAATGCAAGAGCCATTTGCTACTGAAGAGGATCCACAATTATAAAAAGCACTAACAGGCTCAAGTGCTGTCAAGTTCAACAAACAAGTTCATGGACCCATAAATTTCTTTACACATCAAGCAAATATTGGTAGCAGGAGTGCTGAATGTTCCACGTTTTATCAAATGTACCGAGTTACCTTGAATGAGATTTGGAAGAAAAACCAAAGTAGACAGATTTGCAGGTCTATTGAACATTTCTTCTAAGAGAATTCAATACCGTTCAATGTAGCAACAAACACTTCATATTGGGCCTTGATGAATGATGCATGTAGATACATGTTGATTAAAAACCCTAACTATGCATGAGTTGTAAAATAGATTCTAAAAGAAGTGAAAAATGCTATTGCTGCTACTGTTGATGAAGAAAAACCTGTTAAAAAGAAAGACTGGTTGACTTACTTCTGAATCACCAATCAAATGCTCTATCTATCTCCAATCAAACCCTCTATCTATAGAGAATGAAGTTTCATAATGGAAATGAGGATTTAGAAAATGTGCAGCAACGTGCAAATGAATGTGAAGCTAACAATCCCACCGACTATCCACAATATCCCAAACAATCTAAAAATAGATTAGCAGATTAATTCTTTTTGAAATGCAAAAGATTTACTTACATGGGGAAATACAGTAAGCATGAGGAAGAAGAGAAGTCCAGGTGTGAGTTTTCACTATTTTTAGAATATTAGTGATAATACCGTTTTTGTTTTTTTTCTTCTGATAATCCAGAAAAGCCAGATAAGCTTCTGATAATCATGATAAGCCTGAGGATGAACCCTAGAAGGGATCACATTATTAACAATTTATTATTATTTTCTTTTTTTTATCTATTTACTAAAATAAGATTACTATTTTCAGCAGATTGGTGGAGAGCTTTTGGAGATGCCTGAACAAGCAAAATTTGCCATTAGAACTGAACTAGCAAAATTTTAGAGAGCTTTTGGAAATGCCTGAACTAGCAAAATTTGCCATTAGAATCTTGAGCATGACTTGCAGTGCTTCTGGATGTGAATGGAATCGAAGCTTCAATCAAGTAATAATATAAAGTATTTTAGTTTTTTTTTGAATGAATAGGAGCATATAAAGAGAAGAAATTGATTGAAGCAAGCAAAACTCAATGATTTCTACATTATGCTTAATTTGAAACTAAAACACAGGAAGTTAAAGAAGAAAACAATTGAAGATTCCCTTTCTTTGGATGATGTAGACTCTGGTGATAAGTGGATCTCAAAGCTCCAAGATCCTGAGGTGGATGCCTATGAAGATCTTGATGCAAATATAGCTTTTGATAACACTCTTGACATTGGAGAAGATGAAGGATCTCAACATTCAAAAAGGAGAAAGAAGAAAAACAAAGGTATAAGATAATAATTTGAATAAGTTTTTTTTTTTTAATTTGCACTTTAACTGTAACATATAGTTCCTTCAGGTAAAGAAAAAATTCCAATTAATATTGATTAGGATGAATTTCAACATGCCTAGGAGGAAATTGAAGAAGATATGTTGAATTGAATTTTATGGTTCCCTCAAAAATCCTACAAATACCACTAGTGCTAATGACAATGGCAAGAATTAGTGAATCCAAATTTTATTGAAAAAAAAATTAAATTCAGAATTTCGATATAATTCCGGAATTGCAAAGTATTTCAACTATTTTATAAAAATTAAAATACTTTGCAATTCCAGATTTATAAAAGTGGACTTCTTCTTGTAACCGGCATAAAACGCCAATTACAAAAAGAAGTCCACTTGTCAAGTGTGACATTGAAAAATACCTTCTTTTTTTAAGACTTCTGCAATTATCGATTAGCGAGTCCATTACAACCTTCTGTGTACTAGTGTTTGATTTAGGAACATCAAATCCACGCATTACTAAAAATTTTCTTTAATTGTCTGAAGTACAAAAAATTTGAGGCAACCATTCTAGATATTACTGCAGCTACACTTTCATTTACTTTTGAATTATAAAAATCTTTTGAATTTTTTGCTTTTTCTATTTAAATTAACAGCAATTGCACCTGCAACGCTTGAATCATTATCAAATGTTTGTTTGTTTTATACCTTGTTGTGCTTTGCTCACAAATGGGTATGCATTAGTGTTGTACATTCACCCAGTATCTTCAAAATCTGCTTACACTGTATGGACTTTGCCACTTGATTTTTTGTTCCTTGTAAAAAATAATTTCACAACAAACCCGATGGTTTCTTTTCGGATACATCTACAAAAATTTCTTCTTGATCCAACATCCTTGCGGTTAAAATTAAGTACAATAAATTTATGCAAGCTTAAAACCGATAAAATTTACCAAGTACGCTTTGAACTTGGAAATATGATAAATATTATTAAAATTACTGTAAACTTACGTAACCTGCTTGTTCACAATTTATTAACAATTTTATTAACAAATTTTGCTGTTGTTTCAATAAAAACAAAATGTGTTACAGTTTTTAGCTATTTGCATCGGTTTTTGCTTTTAAGCACAACAAATAAAATTCGAATTAGAAAAAAGCTAACGATATAAAAATCAGAATTATCTGGAATTTGGTTTCTTTCTATTCTGGAATTTTAAATTTTATAAAAACAAATAAATTTTGGAATTCCAAAATTCTAAAATCTGGATTTGGAATCCCTAGCAAAGACTGATGGGTTATTACTTATGAGATTAGAATATATATATTTTGAATTTTTTCTGGTTTGGAATTTCTAATTTTTTTAATGATATTGGGATTATATGAACACTATGGAGTCATAAACTTTATAACTATTATTTTCTGTTATGCTTATGCTTTTGGTGATGTTAAAATTAGAAAGATTTTGTTTAAACTGCTCCTACAAAGTGTCTGCCAATATATCAAGGTGGATTTCCCTGACTTTTCCCTGATAATTCCCTGATCTTCTACCTGTTTTCCCTCATTTAATTTAAAGTTACCCAAACTAAGCTTCACAAAAATTGACCTAGATTTGTTTAGAAAAATACCCTTCAACATCAAAAATATAAACAATAATACAACCTACATTAAATGTACCAAGAGAAGTTTATAAAACTATCTATCAAATAAACTTTTATACTATGTGTACCATATACAACTTATTTAAGTTGTGTAAGTTTAATGAAGAGCCATTTTCCCTGATTTTTCCCTCATTTTTCTAAAATCTAACCTGATTTCCCTAATAATCCCCTGATTTTTTTTGCTGATATCTGAATTCCCTGACTTTTCCTTGTTTTCCCTGATTTCCATGATCTGGCAGACACCCTGTCCTATATTGTGTCTTTAGTGGTGTAAAAATTAGAATGATTTTACTTCAATGTTATTTTCATTGTTTTTAAACTTTTTCTAAAAAAAAGTTTTTCTCAAATAAAGTGAAGCTTTCGCCTTAAGCGCTTTAAAGCTTATGCATCCCTCACATAGAGGGAAACTGCCTCAATACGCCTCACGCTTTTTTAAACCTTGGCATTAAACTTTTTTTTATAACACAGGTTAAAGCACAGCGATTATTTTTTAATAAATGATATATACAGTAATATTATTTTATTAAATGGTGTTTAGAAAAATAATTTTTTCTTTCACAACACAATCATTGTTAAAGTAAAAAACTTTTATTAAATAAAGTAAATAAATTAACATAATTTTTATATTTGCTACTCACTAATTTTTTTTAGATAAAAAATCATTTCTATTTGCAAAGCCGCATATTTAAGAAATAATAATATAAAATAATTTAACATATTTTAATCCATTTATACAAATGCTGAGAAAAGAAAAAAAATTGTTTATATCAAACATTTTTATATTACATAGATGAGTATTTGTCTTTCTATGAAAATCCTGGAAAATCTGAGAAAATTATTTAATTTAAACTTGATCGTTTTAACAGACAACAAAAACTTTTGTAAACTTTTAAAACGGAATTTAGAATATTTAACTCTTACAAAAAGGAATTTCTAATTTCGAAAAAGTTAATTTAAATGAATTAAATAGCAAAAAAAAAAAATTGTTACGAAAATTGCTTTCGTGAAAATTTTATTTAAAAATATATAAATTTTTTTTCAAATTAGTAACAAATAACATTTAAGGAGTTTTAAGTGAATTTCCGGAATTCCGGGTATTCCCGGAAAAAACTCAGCTATGATATTAAATTAAATAAAAAAATATTTTTTAATTTTTATTTTAAATTAAATAAAAATTATAATAACATATATAATACATAATATATAATAATACAAAATAATATACATAATATATAGTAACATTTTATATCAAATTAAAAACAAAAAATTGAAAGAAAATAAACATTCCATAATTGCATTTCTATATTTATTTAATATTTATTTAATTTGTTTTGCAGTAACTAATAATATTGCAGTTTAAAAAAATTGATGTCTTTAAAAAATTAAAAAATAAAGAGAATTTTATGAAGTCAAATTCACATTAGGCTAAAGCATTAGCCTAATTAGTTGCGCATCAATAGAAATGATGCGCATCAATAGAAATTATGCGCAACTATAGAAATTGTTTATTTTTAGAACAAAAAAACTTTCAATTGATTCAATGCTGAAATAGATGATAGGATTAAGTATATATAATTTGGAAATATGATTAACTCAAATTTTTTATTTTTGGGACTTAGGGCATATATATATTTTTGGGACTTAGCGCATATATATATTTTTGGAACTTAGCACATATATATATTTTTGGAACTTAGCGCATATATATGTACCTAGGTTTAAGAGCTTTTACTATCCTTATTAAGAACTATACTGAGTGCTTAAAATTATAGTTTTTTTTACCCAAAGTAAGTTGTCTGTAACATAGCAAAGGTATTTAAAAATGAATACATTGTGTATCACAGCATTTAAAATGGTATTTACACAATCCATAGTTGATTTGTATTTTTATAATATAAAGAAACTCTTTCATTTTTCTAGTACTTTAAGATCTAAAAAAATATCTGGACAAGTTACATTCATTATTTATCTATGTTTGTTCTCAATTTTTTAAGGACTTACAAGTTTAAACAAAGTTTGTCTCAAAGCAGAAAAGGGTGGGCAGAGAAAGAGAACAAACAACAAATATACCTTTTTTCAAAAATATAGGTAATTATGATATCATGCTTTAATTATCATTATTCTTGCTATTATGAAACTTTTTTTATTTACCTATTCCATTTAATTTATCATCAGACCAAATTCCTTTGCAAATTAGACCATCTTTAGATGTGTATTGACCTATTCCTTGTCTCATTATAGATCCATCACTTCGATGTGAATAATCACCAGCTATAAAAAATATTTTTCCTTCAAATATTATACTCACATTTTTAAGTTCAATATAATGCAAATCACCTAATATTTTTTGATACACTCTGATCAATACACTTAACATACAGTTGAGTCTTGATATCTTGACGACTTGATATCTCAAACTTCAATGTATCTCGAACTTTATTTCCAGTCCTTTGAGCACTTGTTTGAACCAAAATCCTCTTGATATATTCAAAAATATTTTCCAGTTTTCTGAGAGCTCGAGATATCGAGAGTCAACTGTATAATTCTTTACTTGTAATCTTAAATCAACAAACTTGATTCACATTTCTTAATGCTCTCTATTCAATGCAATAAACTTTATACTCTTTATATTTAATACTCAAAATTACCATTAAAAATCATCCCAAATTTAATATTGTTTATATTATTGATAAATAATCCTGGATGGGCTATGGTGGTTTGTGAAGCTAGTAAATAGTGTTGGTGGAAACACACTAAACTTGATGATATCACTTTCCTGCATATGAACCTCTTTTCCTTTTTAAATATTTATCTATTAATATCACAAAACTCACCATATTAAACATTTTCAATAAATTGCACATTTATGTAGACAAAAATGTCATGTAATCAGTATTATCAGCTATAACATAACATCTTGCAAACACATTACTATCTGTTCTATTCCTATTTAGTTTATTAAATTTACTTTATGCATTGATGCAATACCAATAATAAAACTCTCCAGCTAACTTTAAATAAAAAATGTGTTTTGTGAGGTAAAAAATTACTACATCTGTTAAACAACATCTGTAGAGTAGTCAAATTTTAAATTTTATTAAAAATAGCTGCAGGATTTTATAAAAATATTAAATTATAATGTGTTATTTTAACCAAATGTAGTTATGTTTTTTTTCAGATGTAGTTACATCTGGAGGAAATTCTTCCAGGTGTTATTATACTTGGTCAAAAGTTACCAGATGCAAAACACAAACGATCTTGGACAAAAGTGTACAGATGATCTGTACACTTTAGTCCAAGATCATCTGTATTTTTAATAAAATTTTAAAGATGTAACTATGTGTAGAAGATACATCTGTAAACTCTACATCTGTAGAATTTACAGATGTAGTTGTACATCTGTAAATTCTACAGATGTAGAGTTTACAGAATACAAAAGATGTAACTACATCTGTAGTAATCATATACTTTTTATACAGATGTTATTATAGATCAATGAAATTTCAGATGTTGTTGGACAGAAATTATTATACCTCAGTGTATTTACAGATGTTGCTGGACAGATGCAGTTATACCTCATTATGATTACAGATGTTGTTTGACATAGCAAAAACTGATGTTGCTACCATGACCCTTTTATGGTATATAAAAACTTGTAAAGAAAAACATGCCCTATGTGATCATTTTAATTTCACCAACCACCTGATGTTTAAATTAATTTATCTTTAAATTAAGTAATAGGTATTAAGTTGTCATAAACATTTATTTATTATTATACTTTATATATATACATTTATATTATGTCTAAAGTAAACAAAAAATAATTTCATTTGGTTGGGAGAGTTACTTTTTGTTGTTCTAGACAACTTGTTTTATATTCAAAAGATTTATTATTTTATAACCTTAAAACTACAGAAGCAATCTTCTTTTTTTGTAATATAATATATAAATATTTCAAACATTTATTTAATTAATAAAATAAATGCATTAAAATTTTATTATATAAAATTTAAATTTTAGAATTACCATATCTGTCACCATTTGGGAAAACATAAACACCACTTTCTATTAGAAAAAAAAAAGTAAACATATGAATAAAAAAATTCAGACAATATCATTAATAATTTACTAACTTAAAACTAAAAACTAAAGTAAACATAGCGACAATATTTTTGGTCTGTTATAATTTTATTTAATGAGACATTAAATTCTAGTGAAACTAAAGTCTATAAGTATTTTTTTGCAGAAAAACTAAGTGAAATAAGTATATTTTTACAGGGAATTATATGATATTTAAAACATATTTAACTCCATAAAAGATCTAAAGTTAGATTTAATTTAGTTCTAGGTTAAATCTAAGTATGTCTCAGTAAATTTACAATTATGTGACAGAAATTTGAGGCTGGGTGCTAAGAAGAAATTTACATTGTGTGTTAGCACACAGCAAAACAAATTTTTATTATTATTATCAATTTTCATATCTATCTGGTCAGACTCAAGTAAAACTTTTTAGATTCAAATTTTTAGTTTGGTATCACATTTTATATATATATATATATATATATATATATATATATATATATATATATATATATATATATATATAAAAAAAACAACAACAATCCAAATTTTCAATAGCCTTGTATCCAGACTTAAAAACATTTGTTCTTTTTAAAATAAATTTTTAAATGACTTTTTATTGTTTAAGTTTATTCAAATATTAAGTTTAAATTCAAAAATCAAAATTTAATTTGATAAAAATATTAATTTTTGGCATCATTTATAACACCAGTGCTGATTTTTTTAAAAAGATTTTTCTAAAACAAAAATATTTTTATCAATCTCATCTTTCAATTAAAATTGCTGACTAAAATTTTGTACACCTTTTAAACCATCTTTTTTTAAGCACATAGAAAAAACTAACATTTAACTTGGTTTGTAGATGACTTCAATCAATAATTTTTTAATGTGGGTGAAGATTTACCACGAAAATTAGCATTAGATGGTGGAAGTAATCTTTGTTAAATTCTTTTGAATTTAATATGTGACTCATTAAAAAGAGTACACCATCGACTAAAACTGGATAGAAACTTAACATGCAGCTCCACAGCTAGTTGAATGACTTTTATACCCAGGATAAAAAGCTAGGTGAGTTAGGTGAGTGTCAAACAAAGCTAAACTTTTTTTTTTTAAATCTATTATCTTACTATGAAAAAATAGCATCAGATCTATATAGTTCTAGTATTATATAATTTATTTGGCCCAAGTTTTATCTTATATTTAGTGATATAGTAAATATATTTTTAATATAATGATCATATTCTTCATGAAAGAAATTACACAAATTCATAAAAAGAAAAAAAAGAAAAAAAACTATTAACTTGAAATTGATAAACAATTGTGAGAGTTAAGTTTCCGAAATTCACAACAGCACCAATTTTATTATTAGCTTGAGAACTAAATATTTTATCTATATTGCTGACACAGCACAAAATTATATTTTAACACAACATTTTGTTAACTTACATTGTAAGAGAGTAGAAAATGTCACACACTACACATTTTTTATTGACAGCAAATGCAAAATAGTTACTTTAATAACTAAACTTACCTTGATTAGTCATCTTTTTATTAGATTATATAAGTTTAATAGGTAGTGAAATAAATTAATGTAAAAATGCAAAACAAATTTAATTGCGGACGCAAATGAAACATATGTAAATAATAGTGTTATTTAATAAGTTTACTTGGTAACTTTAAAAACCTCCGCTAAGAGAAAAGGTGATAATTCACTGCGGTAATGGGCAATATAATTACTCTCATCGCTTACTATATAATAAAAGCAGGGCTTATTTCATCGCACGTGCAACTGGAGTACAAACTGGAGGCAAGTTAAACAGTGACGGATCCTGGAATTTTTGGTGGGGGTGGGATGTTGTAATATTTTTGTATTTTGTACCATATTGGCTTTTCCTTATAAAAAAAAAGTCCCTCAACTTCTGTGATATTTTATGACTTTTACATTCTGGTGGGAGGGGGGGAGAGAGAAAGACTACTTTTACTACCCCCTCCCCCTTGATCTGTCACTGAAGTTAAATATCTATATGAAAATAATTTAATTATAACAAAAAAATAATTTTGCAAAATAAATGCGGTGGTGGCTTTTTTAAATAAAAGTAATTAAAAAAAAAATTAATTTAGTTATAATTTAACAAAAGTTTAACTAACTTAATAGTATATTGCTTAATAAAAATAATTTTACTTAGACATTTAAAAATATAGACTTAAGTTTAAATAAAATCTATAATTTTAAAACACCAGACATTGTTATAGTTCATCGCAAACTTTAATAGAATAGAGGAAGCATCCTAAAGTATTGGGAAATAGAGTTAGCAATAGTTAACTAAATTTTTTTTTAAGATCTGATCAGTGAGATCAGATCTTAAAATTCGACGGTGTGATGTTGCAATAATAATGTTTCAAAATTTTGAATGTTGGAATGAGTGGTTGAAGCACTTTTTTATTGTCAAAAAACAAAATAAGGGATAATTTCACAAATGAGTTTAACGAACAGTGTCGTGAAGACAGTGTTGTAAATAAATTTAAAGAACAGTATCGAAAAAAATAGGAATATTGTTGCAACTGAATTTAATGAATTGTGTCGAAAACAAAGTAAACAAATCGACTAACTGACATAAGTAAAACATGCAGAGAGGGTATGTACGGCTACATATCGGCTGACTGAAATAGGTAGAATATACAAAGGAGCACACATAAATTGACTGAATAAATAGCTAGAAAATGCAAATGCTGTAATCAGTGGGCATTGGAAGTCCTAAGACGTCTAACATGTGTTTGTTCGATGTCTGTCGGACGTCTTAGGACGTCCAGTGACCACTAAGTACATACATCAGTTTGGGGTTTTGATTTGGGAGGATAAATAAAAAAAATGTTTAACTTTTAAAATTTTTTCGGTTTTCTATAGTAACTTAACATTAATGATTAAAATGGTAGAAATGTTCATTATAAACTGTAATAAATCGAATTATGGTAGTAGTTCCATAAAGATGCTTACTCTTCAGATCATCATAACAATCTTTCATTGTACTATGGATGATTATTGTTTATACCTTGATTATTATTTATACCTTGACCAATGTTTATAGAAGTCTTGATGAGCAGTTTCGATAGTTTGTTTACTATAGAGCCCCAAAGGGAATCCTTTGCGACTGATGAAATATTTGATGTGGAAGAAGACGATCTGAATATTGAGTGTTATGTTTGCACCAGTTAGCATTAAGTAACAACTTTTGAAATTTTTATTTATTTCAGTAAAATCATTTATTTAAGTAAAATCAAGCTTTTACAACTAAATTGAAACTTTTGAATGCTTCAATTATGTGAAGAATGTTGAGAGCTGAGTATGTAGAGGACAGTTGACCACTTAACAGCTTCTATCCAAGACCACTTAACAGCTTCTATCCTTTTGAAAGCTTCAATTATGTGAAGAATATTGAGAGCTGAGTTTGTGGAGGACAGTTGACCACTTAACAGCTTCTATCCAAGACCACTTAACAGCTTCTATCCTTTTGAAAGCTTCAATTATGTGAAGAATATTGAGAGCTGAGTTTGTGGAGGACAGTTGACCACTTAACAGCTTCTATCCAAGACCACTTAACAGCTTCTATCCTTTTGAAAGCTTCAATTATGTGAAGAATATTGAGAGCTGAGTTTGTGGAGGACAGTTGACCACTTAATAGCTTCTATTCAAGACCACTTAACAGCTTCTATCCTTTTGAAAGCTTCAATTATGTGAAGAATATTGAGAGCTGAGTTTGTGGAGGACAGTTGACCACTTAACAGCTTCTATCCAAGCAGTATTAAGTACCTTGAAAAGATGATTGACAACTCTTTTAAGGAAATTCAATTCCATTGTGAGACTATTTCCAAAATCAGAACATTGTCAGGCCCACGAATCATTGGCTTTTGAATGACATTACCAAACAAATTTGCACGAGCAAACAGCCTGCCAGATTACTGAAAATACTCGAGGCTAGACTTGATTGAGTCTAGTGTTTGCAAGTGTTTGGCAAGACACTTAGATTTGACGTTACACCAAGTACAAGGATGCATACTTGAAAGGGGTTTGAAGACCACAAATTATATTTGCAACTTTCATATCGCAAGTTAAAATTAATTTAACTCTATTTGCATTAACTAGAGACTAGATTTGTTCAATGTTTGAGTCAGTTTCTTGCAAATCTTCTGATACCAAAAAAATAATTTATCTCTTAACTCCAGTGTCTTTGCCAAACTTTTGAGTGAGAGGTTGTTTTTGAAGCGGTGAGCTGGTATCAACCCTTAACGCCGTGTCAACAATCCTCTGACAAAACTTGAGAACCATCAATTCCAAAGCTTAACAAAACATTCCACAGAAATTTTGCGAGATTGAATTACATGGTTCACAAGACTTGATAAATTATTGCAGTGAGCAACAAATTGAACTGTACCAGAATCTTATTTTCCGTCGGTAATTTTTAACTCACTGCAGACGAAGAAATTACTCAACTGTTGACCTGCTCTTAAAAATTCTTATTAAAATTTGGCTCTACCATCTTGCTGCTTGATGTTTGGTTTACAGTTCCGACCAGTTTCTTTAATCCGTTGTTTGATAGTCTCGTATTTAGTTGTACATTTACAAGAGCTAGACTGGTCAATTTTGGAGCGCTTTATTGTGGCTCGGCACTACTTTGACCTGAAACCAAAACATACATATTTTATCTTTATATTAAACTTTTTTCAGAAAGTTTGTTTGAAACTTTTAAATTATTCGTTTTTGAAGTGATTAGAAACTTGTTGAAAATATACTTCCCAAAACCTACCTTGTCTCTTTTTCAAAAGATTTTCTTCAAAAACATATTTATGTATAAATATTTACCTGAATTAATTGTAAGTGGCGGCCCGCCAGATGCTTTAGCAATTCAGATAGTTCCTTTAATTCTTTTTTGGAAGTAACTCAAGGTGCAATTTGTTTGGCTGCTAAAGATTAAAGGTTTTCCGTGAACTTTATTTAAGAGGATTGGTAGGGCAAATCTTTTCCTTTGGGGAGGATGCATGTGCTGCAACTTAAATTTGGTCCTTTCTCAATGGTGGCTTGCTCTTCAAGATGATGATTTTCTTGCAGCTTTAAACAAATTTGGCAATTTAGATAATAACACATCGTGCCTCTTGTTTTAGGTCTCACTTGTATTTGATTGATATTAAAAAAAGGAGGGAATTTAACTACTTATCCTTCTTGTTTCCTGCGCAAAATTGTTGTACACAATTTGAAGAGTCCCTGTGGTACACTAGAATCATTTATATTGATCTTTGAGTCTTACAGTTTACATATTTGATCTGCTTAGAAAGTAGTGATCTGCTTAGAAAGTAGTAGGTTATCTTAAATATTTTTTCAGACAAAGCAAGCACACAAATTTTTGATTTTCATTGTGAATCTATGCTTGAATTGGTTTTGTGGCAGCACTAAATCCAACTTTACAAATTCAAACTACCTCTTTTACAAAATTTAACCTGAGTTTATATTGGATAACAACCAATTAAAATACCTACAAATACTATTAATTACAAACAATTAAAATCAAGGAAATAATTACTTAAATTACAAGGAAATAATTTATACATAGTTATTTCGTTTAAAGGAAGTAATTACTTAAATTATTGACAATTGTCATACTTATTGACAATTTAGATGAGATTTTATTTGATGACACAACCCTACAAAAGATTTTTACTGCTCTTTAAAGGGCTATTCTTCCTTTCAAAAGATTTTTCTCTGACTGTCCCTCCAAACCTTTTATTTGTCAATTATTTTAGTTATTTAATTTAATTTTTTTTTTTTTTATGTCTTTATAAAAGCTTTTCAGCCATTTTTTAATATTTTTATGCAATTTAACTGTAGTTTAACCTTAGAAAATGCTGATATTTTATCGCAATGCTTAGGCTAATTCAAACCACGCAAATAGCAAATCAATACTTTTGTTTATAGCATGAAAATAGTACATGTAGCAATAAAACAATTATAACAAAAATAGTTAGTATTACATAGTAGAACACTCATGTAACCATTACTTTTAAAATAGTGACGGAATATTACAGTAATTGGTAATGTTTATTGGTCTAAGTAGCAAAAACAAAAAAATTGATAATTTAAAACTGCCAGTAATCCTTAACCACTTAGTTAATCTAGCTGAAATTTTTTGAAAAGTTTGGTGCAGCCATATGATACATTTGCACCAATTTTTATCAAATTATAAAAAGTGTTTTTCATTTTACAAGTGTTTTTATTGTCGCACTATAAAGTCAAAATTTTACTTAATTTGAACATTCAAATTGAATTATTTTCCGCGGACAAAAATTGCATTACAGGGTACCTTGATATGTACGCTATCAGCCCATATAACTGACGTTCTTGGATCAACTAGGCTAGCATTATTAGAATCCGTGCTTACCGTGCTTTATGATTTTCAGCAAATTAAAACTTGCTCAAATGATGATTTTTCGACGAACCTGAAAGTTCCTTTGATGGAGTACGTCCAATGAACCAGATAAAAAAGAATTAGCTTGTGAGCTGCAAAAACATTTGTTTGGTTCTAGAAGAAGACATTAGATTTCCATTTGATGTTAATGTTCATTTCACAAATGACTGAAATCTATTTAAATAAAAACTTACTCAAACGATG